TAATAATTAGATAAAGCAAAGGCCAATCTATATGAAGATATTTTTAACTCCAGTTTAAAGAAACTGAGGATTGTAGCTGTTTTCCAGTTTTCTGGGAATTTATTCCAGGTCAGTAACGCGACAAGTAAATGCTGCTCTCTGTGTCTGGTTCTTGCTCAAGGTACGCCAGTAGATGTTAGCGAGAAGACCTGAAGTCCTATTAAAAAAGTTATTACCTCATGAAACTGCATGCATTTAATATATTATGATAAAACAAAAAACAGAAAAAAATAGCTATATAAAGACAAACAAACAAACAAAAACCCTTTAAATATTTCAAATAAATCCTTCCTACATTACATACTTTAAGTCTGGCTCCTTCAGCAGATGTAGCACCTCATTAAAAGCTTCTATATAGAAGAAACTTGTTTTGACTGTGATATTATTGACATAACCTTTAATACTTTAAACCCCTGTTAACTGCAACTGTTTTCTATTGTGAAATGATTTTTGGTTAACTAAATTCAACGTGTGTGGATTTTTTTTAACTTCGAATACCATTCCACACTTTAAAAAAAACTCATCAAACAATTGAACACTGTAGAAAAAATGTGCTGCTCGTAACTGACTTACTAAATATAATGACTTATTTATCTGATGATATATCTAGAAAAAACTGTAAGTGAAAATGTTTAACAGCTTTTCTTCTTTTCTTTGGGTCTTTTCAATAATAATTTGTGCCTAAGATGGCAGGCTTAAAGATCTTATTAATGGCCTCTTCCTATAGTTGCGTCCATTGGTTGGCAGAGCAGGCTGAGTTTCTGAGATCGGAGCTGGAGAGAAAGGATCGATAAAGGTGTTTGGGGACAGCGACTGATCACTTATTGGTTGAAATGATTCTGAGCTTGACAGCGACTCCCTAGAGAAACCAGGATTTTGGATTCCATCATGATGGTTTCCCTCTATGTCCTCACCTTTGCTCTCGGAAAATTTCCTTATTTGCCTTAAAAATGCATCCTCTGTGTTTTTATCTCGTTTAAAGAGGATGATGTAACATTTAACCAAAAACTGACAAAACAAGATGCCCAAAGCAGAAATAACAATCACAACCATTTCAATCGCTGGATGATACTCGTCCATGACGTTCGCGTAAACTGGGCCAAAGATGATCCAGGCGATGAAGTAAATCAGCATGGAAAAGGTGATGAATTTTGCATCATTGTAACAATCGGGCAAGTTTCTGCCTTTAAAGGCAAGAGCAAAGCAGATGATTGCTAAAATGCCAATATAGGCTAGCATGGCCCCAAATGCTCCATATAAGTTTTCATCGCACTGTACAAGGATGTAGTGTTTTTGATATTTCTCAAATGGTTTTGAATATATAGTTGGAGCTTTTTTTGCAAGCCAGATCGCACAGATCAGCACTTGTCCACCCATGCAGAATGCAATAATCAGGTAAGGCTTGTAGAGTTTTTTCAGAACATCTTTGGTCACAGGGTCAAATTCAAAGGCCAAGATTATTTTAAATGACTTGACCAAGATGCAGGAGACAGACAAAGTGAAACTCAAGCCAAACCAAACTTGTCGGGCTTCGCATTTCCACTTTGTAGGTTTGGCACCAAATAACGTTACACTTCCAAATGTGAACAAAAGAGAGAAAAGGAGAATGATGGATACGGGGCCACCAGATGAGCGTACGACTGGTGTATTCCAGTAGGCTATGAAGATAATGGCAGCTATAATGGTTAGCACAGCTCCTAGAGCAGTGGCTGTTAGCAGTGCAATGTGATACACATCTTTCCATTTGAGAAACAAAACCTCTCTTCTTGAACAGTTACTACTGCCCTCACCGGAATATTCACTGCCTTCATCACACTTATAGCACTGGTTAGCATCTGAAAACAAAGAGCAATGGTAAACAGTCATTTTATTTTTGTAAGCTAAAAAAATATGTTTTTAAGTAATTTTGAGGTAACTGCTTAAATATATTTTACTCCAGACTTACCTGTGGTGTTAGAATACTCATTTTTGGGACACTTTTTGCATTCATAGCAGCAAACTGGTAAGGCACTATTCATTGTAATCTTCATTTCACCTGGATTACATGTTGAGCATTTGGAAGTCACTCCTTTCTGTAAAGCAAAACATATATTTATAGTGAAGGGAGTTCTCAAATCTCAATAAAGGAATATATTTTTTATGTAATAACAGAATTATGCATGCAGAATCATATTCAATAAACTAGGATGTTATTAAAAAGTAAATTTATATCTGTGTAAATTAGTTCTTTTGAAAAATGATATATATTTATTACATACACTGAGGTTTTCATTCAGTTTTTTGGTGATTTATGAAAATTTTCCACTTAAGGTTCAATAAATTACAACACTTAGAATATTACAACAGACCAGTTAAAAAACATCCAGCAAAAGGTAAATAATATTTTATGTGTTACCATTATAAAAAAAAAAATTAGTCTAATAAGTCCTTTGTTTATATAACAATTAAGCAGTGCAGTTAAGGTCTAATAGTAAATAGCATGATCATAACAAAAGAGGAGATTTTTCGACATTTACTGATGCCAAGTTCCAATAACCTGACTCCGCCAGATGGATTTGCTCCGCATATCCATCTGGAAACCTTCCGTTGAAGTAATTTTGGGAAGGGGCGAAAATACTGGTTAGCTGATTGGCCTATGTTGGTGTTAGATGGGCCAAATAAACCAATCAGATCAACGAAGCATATGACGTACTAACAGAGCGACAACGAAAACACAACCACAAGCCGGGCTACTCTTGCCGAAACCAGTCAGGAGAAAAGCAAAAACATATTTTCCTCTGAGAAAAGCCTCCAGAGCACTGTCTTGCTCTTGAAGAAATACTCTGTAATTCCAATAAAACTTGCTCGATAGCCACGCTAACGCTAGTTTCATCGGCTGAAGCCGCCATGTTCTTTAGACTAAACTGTCGCGCTTCTCGTTGTGTAACACCTCAACCTGCCTCAAAGCCAACGCTAATTGGACGTTCGTTTGGTGAATGGCTCTAAATTTTCTTTAACGGAGAGTTTCCAGACTGATCTGCGAGTGAAACCTTGAAAGCTCGCGAGATCAGGATGGTCTCACGAGGCTAAAGTTCCAAAGCATTGCTGCAATATATATTGTGAAATAATGTAGACATATGCACTAGAAGTAGTGCACCAAAATGTTTGAAATTCAACCGGTCTTACATAGTTTGTGTTTTACTCAATGATGAGAATCCTAACACTATCATTTTATTTCTTGAGAGTAGCAGGCTTTTTGTTTTATCTATGATCAATTTACCTTCTAACATATAATTAACATTTTAAAGCCTAAACAAAAGAAATGACTGAAAGAAAATTCTAATTTTTCAAAATGTAAATGTCACTGAACTTTCTCAAAAAGTTCAATTAGATAATTTATTTGCTTTAAATTTGATACATTAGGCAATTCTGCATAATCTTTTATGTTTTCTGTTCATTACATGTGTCTGAATGTTTAAGTTAGTGTTTTAAGCACAGAAACATCACACTGATGCTGCAGAAGACTAAAAAAAATCATGTATCAAATATGAACCACTTGGATTTAAAGGGTTAAATTTGTTTCATTTGAATTGACTGTTAATGGTGGACAATGTAATGTCAAAATGTATCAGGTCAAGTTCTAAAAAGCTATCAAAAAATAGTTTAGTATGGTATTTGTGTGGTATGTTTAGGGATGGCTTCTCACTAGGGTTAAGGCATCACAGATTCATTTGGGGTGTGTTAACTCACCAACTGAAGGAAATACTTACAATTTTTTCATCTAAGTAGCTGGAGGTTTGAACGAAAGACTGATTTGCTATGACATAATAACCAACGTCACGCGTTTTGTGATAGTTGTCAGAAGCAGACTTCCACATGATGACATCATAACCAGAGTTAACGTCACCGTGAGTATCAAATGAATAGTTTTCCTTATCCAAGGAGAAACGTGCATTTTTTAAGGCCTCTCGAAACTGAAATTACAAAGGAAAAAAGTTGTGATTACTACTGACATGCTCAGTGTCTGACTATATACACATTAAGTGATAAGTTTAATATGCTTTTTGTTGGAAATTGCTTAAGGTTTGCTAGATCATTTACTTTGCCCATTGTTGTTTTCCTCCTTTATATATATATCTACTCAAGGATCAGTGAAGCTGTAAATATTACTGCTAAGATCGCTAATGTTTCAATTAGCTCCTAAAAGTGTAAACAGAACCAATAAAAATATAAACCCAAAAATGATTTGCAGATGTATTCCCTTTCTTATCACCTATTATTTCTCTCGTTCACATAAATCCATGTAAAGCACATGTGAGTTATAAAAGGAAACACTGAAAGAATTCAGTTAATATTTTTTTAAAGTATTGTAAGTACATACCTCTCTGGGTTGTAATGAGGAAATGTTACACCCCTCAATGCAAAGATCTTTAACAGCCTTAGCGATTGCTTTGACTGCCAGATCGATACTGAAGACAGCATACAGACGTGTCATGTTGATTAATTTGTGGATTTGGGAACTGATAAATGTATTTGAGCCATTAGTATTATTAGCACTTAACTCTAAATATTCCCTCAAAAAAGAGTTGTTCTTGTACCGATCCGGCTTTTTCTCAATATACCTGAGAAACCTTTCAAACCTGATTTTGTTTCCAGATTTGAGAGTTATCCCAATGATGGTTCCAACATCCTCCAAAGTCCATCTTGTTGAATTAAGACATTCAACTGATTGTGACCAGTTATCACTGGCTATCCAAACTTTGTTTTTGCCTCTGGGGTCTTCAAGAAGTGTGTTAAAAATTTTCTTCATTTGGCTGGATTTGGCAAAGGACACAATGACAGAGACATTCCTATTGTCAGTGATGTTTTGGACCGTGTCTTTTATGGACTCTTCAAGATTATTGTCAACAAGAAACTCTGGTAGAAAACTTGTGTAAGCAAAGCAGATGCCATTCTTTGTTGCGTGATGTCGCAGACGTTCAACAGCATAGCGGCCATATTCACCATCAGTTGTTATGACCCCAACCCAGTTCCAGTTGCCACTTTTCAGAATCTCAATGATGGCATGTGCTTGGTGATCATCCTGTGGTACGGTCCTCAGAAAACTTGGGAAACGATCTTTATCGCTCAGGAGGCCAGATGTAGAGCCATAGCTTATCTGGGCACAGAGAAAGGAACTGATAAAGCAACATCTTACAATAATAATTGAAGCAGAGGAAAATATTGTCCTTATCATGTTTTGGTATGAATGACTCCAATACAATGCAGAACTTAGGTGAGAAAGAATGTACTGAGAAAAAAAAGGACCAAAACTTGTTTTGCAAAAGAAGAAACTGGCATGAAGCCAAAGTTCAAGGCATTGAGAGGATAAAGCAGATAAACAAGCAGGGTTAGGGAAGGTTCCGATGGATAAGAAAAGAACCACTGAGTAAATATTAACCAAGGCAAGGGACAGAAATGATAGGAAACCTATGAAAGCTGATCAAAAAGAATACGGTATGTTGCAGCTTAGGCAAAGAGAAGGCAGAGCAATCTTGGTATAATTGGAGCAGTAGAGTCACAGAGTAAGAGCAGAAACACAAAAGGCCTGAAAAGAAAAATGATCAAAATAAAATGCGAATGAAAACCAAAGCATAATCTCAGTGGACAGATACTTTTGGCATTTTATTTACATGAGCCCCTGCCCTTATTTGGACACTTGAATGGGCTTTGCTTACTCCTTTTACAATTTGTGCCTCTTTTTTACTATAATTTTTATCTTACCTTTTTCTTCCATCTAACTTTCCATTAATAAGCTTGGATAAAACCAACTAATCTACGACCTTGCTTACGAAAAAAAAAACCTTACTGGTTCACCTTGCTTGAGGACACTGTCAGTGACTCTGTCTTACTATGTACTTTTTATCATGCTTTTATCTTTATTTACATTTATTCTGCTTTTTTCCTCTATTTTACTGTCAAATCCATGTAAAGCACTTGTACTGAATTGTGTTATATAAATAAACTAGCCTTGCCTTACTGCTAGATGACTTAAGTTTCTCTATTTTTTTAAAGCATTTTCTATATTATTATATACATTTTTTTAAGCTTATTTAAAACTAAAACTTTCAAGGAGACCTAATTTCTACTAAATGTTTTACCTTTACTGAATTCTATGTAATGATTCCATAAGATTTCAGTGTTAGTATTTTATTTAAATGACTGAAATATATTCTTCGGAAAAGTCTCTTATATAATGAGAAGCAAATGTATATATTATAACAAGTGTGATGTAGAAATAATACATTCAAGTCACTTCACCTGACAGTTTTCATGAATTTATGATGAGTGTTCTAATCTTTTCAATATATAAATATGTGAGGGTGTTTAACCATAAAAGACAAACGCGAAAAGGAATAGTCTGTCTTAATGGATATGATATATCTGTTGAAGAGAATCTGAATTCACTAATGAAAGTAGGAATGTTTTTAATTACATCATACCTGAGGTATTTCCTCCAGGTTGAGTTGCCTTGTAACTGCAATAGATATTTCTGAGTAGTAAGCCCCTATGATTGCCATTACTGGTGGGGGTGGTTGCTGCTCACAATCCGTATCAGAGTTAGCTGCGGAAAACATATGAAAGCAGTCATTTTATCTACTTAAAAAGTCAAAACAATAAATTGTAAAAATAACAATTATGACAATGATAAAAAGAAAGTAAAATCTAGATTATAAGACCTAATACTATTTTGAAAAAATAAAAACAAATCTAAAACATCAAATTAATAGCTATTAAATTTCCACATTATACAATGCATGGATAAATTATGTCTAACATGTTAAACATAGACTAGTCGCTAAGGACCTGATCTTCAAAGATTCCAAACAAGGAAGACAAGACTTGTTTCTTAAAAAAAAAGAGCAATTAGAGGGTGTGGTGCTCGTTATCTTATATAAGAGACACAAAACCGGTTCATCTGCTCCATCAAAATGAGTAAAACGTTTATGATACTGGGCTCATTGCCAGGGAGAAGTCGATAATAATGATAATGATTATGAAGAAAAAAAACAATCATGACTTTTATTAAAAGTCCATATACAGTAAATACCATATGTGCACTTTTATAACACATATACTTATCCCAGTCTAAATATCAAACAAAACAAAAATAGATAGATAGAAAAGAATTAGTCAAGAACTTAAGAATCAATCATATAACCTAAAAAAACAGACTCAAGTTCGCCTTCCAAACCCCCCTCTGACAGAGCCTAGTCTGATAATCAGACTTATATTTAAATAAAGCTCTGAGCAGCTGTATTTATCTCCATCAGCTCCTCCAAACACCTGTTTGACCCAAAATATTGCACGCCAAAGTCATCCCAGACTGTGGCTCTACACTTCATATAGATCCTATAATGGCTTGTTGAATCAGAGAGAAAAAAAATCCATCTTATCGCAAGTTAGAGATGCACACTTTCAAAAAAGCATGGAGAAAGTTATTTTTCATTTCTAAAATCCATTTACACCATCTGAGGTTGTTGTTGTCAGGTGTCAGTTTTTGTTCAGTTCTGTTTTTTATAAACATGCCACAATATTTAAGTTCTGTCATAGTGTTTTTTCATTACGGTTTAATTGCCTTAGGCTTTTTAGCTGAAATCTATCTGTGAAAGTTTGGTCCTGACTTGCAAAGGTGTTAAAAATAAATGGAAAAAACTCTCCCTGCAATTAGTTTCAGGTTGGATGAATGGCTTTGCAAGTAGTAATCATTTTTAATTTGCATATCCTCCTCCCAGTATTTTACACGGTTTGGTCTTGAAAATATGATCTGCAAACAAAGCTTGTTCTACAAGTTGCATTTTGCATGCAGTTGTATTTAAACCTAATTAACAAAAACATGGAAAAATAGTTGATCCCACAATGGAAAAATTCCTTTCTGCATCTTAACCCATGCCCTTGGTGAGCAGTGGGTTCCCATTGTGCGGCGCCTCGGGAAGAATCAGGGGTTAAGGGTCTTGCTCAGGGACCCAGAGTGTAGGCTATGGGGATCGAACAAGATACTTGCAACCTTCTCAGAGCACAAGCGCACTGCTCTAACCACTAGGCACACATTCCCCCTTTTAACGCAGGAGAGTGTTTCTGCCAAGTTGTGTGTGCAAACGTGTGCAATCAAATGACATGTTTTTTTATACATGTATATCTTTTAAAAAAATACAAAAAATACTACTTTCTGGACTTAAGAGTGCTCACGGTTCATTTTCATGAAGAGAAGAGTGTTTTTCAAAGCAGTAGTAACATCAGCACATGAGTCCAGTATATGATATCCCAGAGTGATGTTCCCCAAGTCTCCGCTCTGGTTTATCTCCTCTATTCCATGCACCATCATCAGAGACTGAGCCAGTCGAGCAGGACTGAAACTGATAAATAGAAAAACACATTACTTACATATCTACCCATTCTTACGGCATTGATTCAGTCCTGTTGTTAAAGCGAAACAAAACAAACATGGAAAAAATAAAGAAATACCTGATACACTTTCCTGTATCGTTTACACTTTCATGTATTGGGAACAATCCTCCAATGATGATGTCCCCCGGAGACTTGGCTTCTTGCATGGATTCACAGTAGAGAAATTGAAGTGAGAGAAGAAAAATTAGATAAAAACTGAAGAGAGCTGTCATTTTCCTTGTTCGATTCACTTTTCTTGTATTTAAAATTTCTCTAGGAACCTAACCCTGAAATCTCTGTTCTGTGTCTCTCCGATCTGACTGCAAAATACTGAAATCCCAAACTTCCCGAACCTTAAATAAAACCTGAAAAACAATCTTTGCATATTTGTCATTGCAAAGAACGGCTGTGGCTCTCCCTGAAGCACAAGGATGTAAAACATATATTGCAGTGCTCTTCCTTGTATTTATAGCAATTGTGTAATAACCTACTCATTTAAAAACACATGAGACTATATGTTAGAAAGATAAATATCTGTAATTTTTTTTTAGGTAAAGATTTGATTTGTGTCCACTGATTTCTGATCTGGATTCTTTTGAATAAGTAAGCTGTTGGTGTGATAAGATGCACCAGCTATATGTAATCAACCAACTTAAACCTGGAAAGACATTAAAAGAAGGGGATTCCCCAGCAGAGGAAAAGAACAAGAAATTCTTGTCAGGTTTCTTTTCAAACTTGTCCTCTGTTTGAAGTTTAATGTTACGCTTAAACGTTTAATCATGATCGAAATTGTGTTCAGTTGGCTTGAGAGTGAATTTCTGTTTC